AAATTGTTTTGTTTTTTCCTCCGATGCATCCCAATATCTCGCTATGCTTTTCCATATCGCGGTCGCATGGTGCCTATGTGTATGTTAGATTGTTCAAATCATATTTTAGTTTTATTTAATATATTTAAAAAAAACAATTACTTAACTAGTTATTTTTATTTTATTTAGATTTTAAAGGAAAGACTAGGAAAAATAGTTCCGTTTTCAATATCTGAATCTATTATTAAAGTTTACATTATAATCATAGCTTTAATTATCATTGTATCGCTTTTACCACCTGGGTATGGAAATATTGAATATATCATACCTTATATTATATCATGGGTGGTCACTATTTTAAGTGTAATTACTTGGTACTATCTTAATCAGTATCGAAATATTAATGGTCAAGTAGTCCAAAATGAAATACCTAATGGTCATCAAGTAGTCCAAAATGAAATACCTAATGGTCATCAAGTAGTTCAAAATGAAAAACCTAATGGTCATCAAGTAGTTCAAAATGAAGAACTTACTGGTCAAGTTGTTCAAGTTGTCCAAAATAAAGGACCTAATGATCAAGTTTTCCAAAATGAAGATAATGACGAAATAAACCGAATCTCGGGTTTGTTCATGTCTTTTATTATTTTTGTTAAAACATTGTTACTTGATATATAATAATAAATGATTTTTATTATTTTTAGTCGAGATTCATAATTAATTTATTTTTAAAACTTCTTAATCTTTTTCATTAAATAATTTTAATATTGTTAATGAATAATGTACATATGTAGCTTTATACTGTATTTAGAGATCAATTACTCTTTTTCAATAAATTTCGATTGTTAGCAGCCAAACAATCAGTGAAAATCTGTTTTTTATGGCTTTCTTATATAAATTTGAATTATCAAATAAATCGGACAATTAAAAACTTTCTAATGATAGTACAGATCGCTGATCTGCACTGTCTAATTAATGTAAAAACCAATGAACTATAATTCCGATCAAATTTGGCAATTATTTGTTATTACCCAAATCAGGTATACTGTATAAGCGATACCTTTTCAATGATTTTTCAGAGGAATAAGTTGAATAATGATTGAAGTAGAATATTAATATCTTTGTAAATAATAATTTCGACCTTAATAAATAATAAAATATAATCAATAATTTTGATCTTAAAATAATAAAATATAATTTACATTTTCTCTATTAAACATAAATTATTCATTGAACCCACTCATAATGCTTATCTTATTTTGCCAACTATCGTTGGGTTTCGTTACCTAAAGTCATCCTACAGTAGTTATAAAGTCGTACGTACGTCGTGTCCTAAAACATGGGTTGGAACAACTTCATGTCGCACAAACGTCACGTACGTACGTACTAAGCATAAATTCAATATACATTTGTGTAACACTTACCTACTGTTACAAAATAAACAAATAAGTATTGTTTCAAATAAAGAGAAAATAGAATGTAACACTATTATTTCTGCATGAGTATCTAAATGGTCGTGGCAAATTGATTTATGCAATTCAAATTTTTTTTTTCTTTTTTAGCAAGAATTATGGCAGATGATTCGAATGAATTAAATGAATTAATTAGCAATATTATTGAAGAAGAAATTAATAAAATTAATAATGAAGGAAAAGAAACTATAAAAAAATATGATCATAATTTATTTAGTAATTTTTCAGTAATCAGCAGAAGTCCTTTTGGTAATGTTCGAACAGCAACGTGGGAAAACTCTACAGTTGTTTTTAAAAGCATAACCATTAATACTAGTCAAATTGATAGCGGAATTATTGATGACATAAAAAATGCAGTTAATGACAGTAATATCGTTCCCATTGAAACTACTATTAGTGGTAATAAAACTATTATTACTAATGCGATTAGATTGTTTATTAATGAGGTAATTGTTTTTAGATACAGTACTTATCTCCGACTATAATTTGATATTATCTGATTTTTTTCGATATATAGCTTCGGAAATTAGCAGCTGTCGATAAACATAAACATCCTAATATTATCCAATTCTATGGAATCACTAATGGTAATTAAAAATATAAAAGTTTATATATTATTTTTGAGAATGAATATAATCCTTTATAAATTTATATTATTATTTTAAACAGATCCCTTAAATAATCAGTATAACTTGATTTTACAATATGCTACAAGCGGAAATTTACACGATTACTTGAAAAATAACTTTTCGAAATTAACATGGTCTGATAAATTGCGATATGCTCATGAAATAGCTAAAGGACTTTCGTTTTTACATGAAACCAAAATCTTTCACAGAGATCTTGTAAGAACCTATATACATATATAATATATATGTAAATATATGTAAAGTTTTATTTTATTTTTTTAATTAATGCATGTTAAATAACTTCGTTTTTTTTTCTAGCATTCGAGAAATATTTTAGTTTATTGTAATCGAATGCTAATTGCAGATTTTGGAATGTCTAAACACATGAATGAAATGACAATGTTTAAAGCTAGTAAAATGTATGGATATTTAGAGCCTCAATGCTTTATACGTTCTACATATAAATGTGATGAGAGATCTGATATTTATAGTCTTGGAGCAATTTTTTGGGAGATTTCTAGCGGCAGGCCACCATTCAATCACTACGAACATAGAGAAGCAATTATAATTCAGATATTCCAAAAAGTGAGGGAAACTCCCGTAGAGAACACACCAAATGACTATGTCAATCTTTACCAACGTTGCTGGGATCAAGAACCTGAAAGACGCCCGGAGATCAAAACTGTACTTGAAGAATTAAAAAATATGCGACGTTCTTTAGCAGACAATCAAATTGATTCCAATGAAAAATGGATTGAAAATAAATTAATTGAAGGGAGAATTAATGAGTATAAAATGGTTGAATTTGAAGATTATAAACTGATCAATAATGGTGCATCTAGTAAAGTTTATAGAGCAAGATTTAAAAGTACAAAAAATATATGTGCATTGAAAATCATCGGAAAAAATAACCATAATAATAAAGAAATTAAAAATGAGGTTAGTAATATTTATATGATATGAATCATTAGATAAATATTTATGTTTCAGGTTAAAATTGCTAAAATGTACAATTGTATTCGTAACAATATGCAGCTAGAGCATATGCTTTCTGTAGAATCTCATGAGAACATTATTAAATTTTATGGTATTGCATATAAAAGTGATGAAATGGATCCAAATGTTGTCACATATGTACTTATTCTTGAGTATGCGGATAATGGAACTTTAAGAGAATATTTGCATCAAAATTCGACTAAAATTGAATGGGCATTAAAGATTCAATTTGCAATTCACCTCGTAGAGGCCGTTAAATGGTTGCATGCTCATAATATTGTTCACGGTGATCTGGTAAATTTTCTAATGTGTTTGACTATATTTTGTATAATTTTCGTATAATTCTAATAATTTTTGATGAACTTTCATTTCTTATCTTAAAGCATTCTAATAATGTCCTTATTCACCAAGAAACTTTAAAATTAGCTGACTTTGGATTGTCACGACGTGTCAATGATGCTTCAATGTCTCAAACTACAAGTGAAGTTTTCGGAATTATACCTTATATTGATCCACAATGTTTTTTTAGTACAGATCAAAAAAAACAAAATGGAAACCTTAGCAGACTTAGAAATAATAAGAGATCAGATATTTATAGCATCGGAGTTATTCTTTGGGAAATATCAAGTGAAAGACAACCTTTTAAAAATGAAGATGCAACAACTCTACCATCTAGAATAAAAGATGGACTACGAGAGGAACCAATTGCAAATACACATCACAGATATGTTGCTATTTATCAAAGTAAGTTAATGATAATCTATAATTTAAACATATTTGTGCAATTTAGGAATCATTAATTCTTGAATGTTTAGGGTGTTGGCAAGGTATGCAAGAGAATCGACCATCTATTGGAGAAGTAGCTAGGGTATTAAAAGACATTATCGTTCAAGACATCACGGCCGATGATAATTTTGATATTTTTGATATAACAGACTTTAAAGAATATATTAAAACTGCCTTCAAAAGCATTGCAATCAATTTTAATCCAGATATTACAACAGTTGATCCTCCGGATGATATGACTCACTTTATAGATAATCTATATTCGACCTTTAGTAAGTTATTTAATGAAGGTAAACCAGTTAGTGATATAATTATCAATTTTATATCTGAAAATGATAAAACAAAAGAAGAAGTTTTTCAATGGTTGTTGGAAAATAATACCAGAAATCCAAAGTATATTTGCTTATTTGGATTATTTTATCGTTGGAACATTGGCACAGAACACAACAAAGATACATTTAATTTTTTTATTGATGCGGCAGAACAGGGAAATAATATTGCACAATATTTTGTTGGCAAGTGTTATGAAATAGGTTGGGACATCAATAAGAATACGAAGAAGGCAATTGGATGGTATGCTGAATCAGCCGAAAACAATTGTGCAGCAGCGGAATGTGTGCTTGGAGAGTATTTTTATAAATTTAGAAAATATACCAAGGCATTTTATTGGCTTAAAAGAGCAGCTGAACATAAAAATTATAAAGCATTGAATACCTTAGGATTATGTTATCAAAGAGGTCAAGGAACAGATACTAATGTAGTCGAAGGACTTAAATCATTTGAAAAAGCGGCATTATGGGGACTACCTACTTCACAATATGAACTTGCAAATTGTTATGAATATGGAATAGGAACAAAAATAAATTTAGATCAAGCATTATATTGGTATCAAAAGGCTACAGGAGCAAATCCTAATTATCGAATTCACCTGAAACGTGCCGAGATTAAAAAAAACAGTAATGATTATTAATATAAACTAAATTGTTCTTCCAAATCATTTTATATTATGTTAGGTGAAAATCAAGTTGGTTTATGAAAAAACCAGAATTTTTATTTATCATTATGCAGGATTAGATTTCATGAAATCATTTTACTGAAATGCGAATACCATCATATTTTATTAGAAAATAGTATCTATATTAGTGTGTTCTTATTATACATAATTGCTTAAAGAAACGCTATCATGATTCATTTTTATAATTACAACTAGAGATTGCGAATGCGGACGGCTTCGCCGCCTATTTTAATAATTATGTTATAGAACAATGTTGTATTGTATGACAATAATTTAGATAGTCCTGACAAAATAATGGTTTTACATTTCTATATTAATTGAGAAGCATTGCTTGATAGTAAATATTTACGAACTTGAATAATCTATATCAAATATCTTAGTTTATAAACATTTATTTATCACTTATTGTACTCCAAATTAGCATGAAATTAATAATGAATAAAATGAATTCAAATGTCTTCCGAATCGTGTATTAATGCGCATGATCCTGAATCATGTGCATTTTATCCTATCTCTAAACTTGATTTAGTACCTAATATCTTATCTATTTAATTAGCATAATAGCAAAGTTAATGAAGTTGTACAAGAATAAATATTCACTAACTTAAAGAATTAGTATCTTCATGAATTAATTTAGATGAAATGAATATTTAATAAAATTAATATTAATAAAATTAATGTAAATAAAATTAATGTGAATAAAATTAATTCGACTAATTTGAATATTTAATTAATGTGGATTGGATTATATTTTCGTGTAGGTTCTAGATTTTTAATCGGTTCTGATCAACTCATCAACAATCATTCACAGACAATTTAGCTCACCAACAGACAAGGTTTATTTTACTAATAATTAATTAACAGACAAGTTTATTTCATAGACACTATATTTCACCAATAAAGTAATTCTAGTTATTGTCGTTAGGGTCGATTTAAAATTAGTGTTAAGGTTAGTGTAATTTATAATAAAAATGGTCGGCAAAATGAGCGGTGAGTAAAATATGATGTCTATGAAATGAACTTGTCTGTTGGTAAACTAAGTTGTCTGTGAAAACATAAAGTTATATTAGACAGAAAAATTGGCACGATAGATCAGTAATGAATCAAATATCTGTAAGATGCTTGAGGCCACTATCGCAGCCTAAAACATCTTAAAGTTATTTGATTCATGTATTGATTTATACTACTATGCTGATATTTTTTTTTTCTATTATACGATAACTTATAACTGTCTAGTTTCATATATTATTAATTAAACCTCAAATGATGAAGACAATGAAGCTGATGAAAATAATAAACCGACAAAAGGTTGAAATTGACAAAAGCCAGCGAAACTGGCACATCAAAAGTATTACCAGATTTATATGATAATAAAACCGCAACTATCAAGAATAAAATATTTTTCTCATGAGTCACATTGTTTATTATGTAAAATGAAATGATGCTTATAGTAGAATAGAATTCAGAAAATAAGAATCACTACTATTTACATAAGACAAATTACATACATCATAGATTTGGCCACATTTTATGGTCATTGTTATAGAAATTAGCTTTTGCTAACAACTTGATGATTTAAAATTATTAATATCATCCTGGCAAAAAATAAAATAAAATAAAATAATCTAAAAAAAGAAAAAAAAATGTTGTTAATTTCAAAAATTATATATGAGTTTCTTATATTTTTAATATAATTTATTACTATTTTAACTGTTGAAGTGTATCTCGACTTAGGGTTTTACTTAATTAAATCTTACTAAAAGACTTACTTTGATTAACAGCAAAGACTGGAGTATTGTACCAGATACTACCACATGTATACCATATACAAAGTGATATGTAAACACACAGTTTATAGTTTAAACATTTCTTTATTATTAAAGATTATTCTATTTATCTCTCTAATCTAAGCTCTCTTATTACTAAAGACTATTGTTCTATTTATATAACATGATAATTGATTATGCAACATATAAGTTACACAAACCCAATTCTAATTCTGTGCTACTAAAAACATGTCAACCAATTCTACTGTATCTTTACTCTTGTGAGACAAATTACCTAACACAAAATAATCAAGTTACCAACTTCTAATATACATTAATTATTTTACTAATATTTAAATATTCAGATAATTTCAACCTTAAGCATTTTCAACCCAATATCGATTCTTTGAAGTTTTTGTTAGGAGTGTTAAAAGTCCAACTTTGCTCAACTCAACTTCAAAGTTGAATCAAGTTGAGTTCAAGTTAGTCCTGAGTTTAGCTTATATGTATTATGCAATGCAAACTCCCTACATATTTTTATGTACTCCTTGCATATTTTTTGCATATTTTATGCAACTATTGCATATTTTATACACCCCTTGCATATTTTATGCACCCTTGCATATTTTATGCATAATTATACATGATTATGTAAGAGGTGCATAAAATATGCAAGGAGTAAAAACTTTGTTCAAAAGTAAACTTGAGTTGACTTCAAAAAGTCCTTGCTTAGTCAACTTAAGGACCAACTCCAATGAGACTTTTAACAGCCCTAGTTTTCATATATCAAAGTGACTTTTGAACACCACATTCACTATTCCATTACATCTAATTATATGATCCAAATACAATCATTTAAATAATTCGACTCTCTCACTACTACATTACCATATATTCTGATTAATTGGTGATTTATATAACATAACTTCATAGAATCTATTCTATAATTATTCAATACTATTATACTATTCATAGTTTGCTTCATCGAAAAAGAGATCTACAAGGGTTATAGAGCCATTTGTGGACCATGTACAGTTAACCTGCTGACCTATTTTTTAATTTTTTAATTGTACTAATTATTCTATTTTTGCCCTATAAGAAAATATATTAGATCAATATGGGTTGGTTTTGGATTGACACTAGCTAAGATTAGGATTTGTACAAGTATGGTCTGATCTGGTATAGATTTAGTTATAAATTCATGTACTATTGCAACCAGTGTTTGAAATTAGTATTCTCAGAGTTCTCATGAGAACACTATTATAAATTTGTACACAGTATAAATTTTTTACTATTCACTATCAAAAGTTTTTTGAGAACAATAAAATAATAATAGTGTTCTCATAAGTATATAGAGTTGAGTCAATATAAACCTAGCAAAAATTTTTTAATAAGTTTTAAAACTTTAAACAAGAATAACATAAAAAATTTTTATTTAAATTTGGTTAAGGTTATTCTTGTTTAAAGATATAAAAAATTTTTATTATAAAAAGTTTGCTTGATTTCTATTAACTCACTTCATATAATAAACCACTGTATAACATTGGCATACCAGGTCAGAAACCAATAAATATACTGTATTTAAAGTAAATTAATAAATAGTTATCTATTATTTTTGAATTGTTTTTTAATACTGATACAACTATAGCGAACTATAGTGATAGTATATATTTTCTAATTTACTGTTCTTTTTTTTTTTTTTTTGTGAACATAAAATCGAACTTTGAGAATATCTATATCTATTGCACTGTTCTCATGAGAACAGTATTTGGATCTGAAATTTCGAATACTGATTGCAACAATATATGGATTAATAATTAAAGTATAATTGTATATTAATAATTAATATTATATAAACAAACAGTATATAAAGTAAAATTTTGTAAAAAAATTTTTTGTCAAGATACATAGAGCAGCTTCATCAGTGAAATTATAAGATATTGCACTTTTTTTACAGCTACTATTATAATTTCTAGAACACCTATAATCTGATATCACCCAAAAGTAACTTTATTTCTGGAATTATCTATTAAAACTAATAAATAACTTTACATAGCCTTAAATGTGAACATAAATCTATTAATTTACTATAGATTTTAAAAAAATTTCAATTTAATGCAAAATGAAAATCAACTTTGCCTTATCTTTAATAAGAAGAAATAAACTCATTCAATTTTAATTATTATAATATTTATCAGAAAATACTTGCATTTTGAATAACAAATTGAAGATGTGGTTTATAAAGTTACCCAAACTTGCTATTGATAAAGCTATGAATCACTATAGTTTCCAATAATCTTTCAATTCAAAAATCTTTAAACTTTGATATTTTTTTTATGTATAAGTCTAAATATAATAGGCCTTTTATTTCAATAGCAAACACTTTTAAAGACACTACATTTAATTGACATTATGCAATGACAAGTTTATTTTACAGATGATTTATTTATAGACAAGTTCATCTCATAACTATTATATTTTACTAATAGCTTATATTTCTTAATTCTAATTACAAACTTAATTGCTATATTGGCTATAATTACTTTTCAAAATAAGCTATTAGTGAAATATATTTCATGAACCAGACTTATCTGTATAATAAGTTTGTCAGTGAAATAAGCATTGACAAAACATGGTGTCTTTGAAGCAAATATAGTTTATCAATTAAAACTAGTTGTTAAATAACTATTTAATATGAATAATAAAAACAAATTATAATCAAAAAAATAAAACAAAGAAAATAAAATTCAACTAGCAACATAGATTTACATAATAAAATTTTAAATTAATATTATTAATGCTAGTTGCATTATAATGATAAATTTTCAAAATTAATAATCATTGATACCATAATGAGCAGTTTGCATATGAAATTATATTTATTATATACATAGTAAGTAAAAATTTTAACTCCTTCCAAAAATATATAATTGAAAATCATAGCTTCTACTAGAAAAAAAATTGTAAAAAACAGAATAAGCAATATCAAAAAAGTTGAAGGAAACTATCTCTACTATATTTCATGTTATATATGAAATGTGATTGTACTGGTACAAAAAATTGTGTAATTGAAAAAGTAATTTTTAAGGAGATGTTGTAAAAATAATTTGAGTATTTGAGGTAATAGAAGAAAAGAAAAGTTATATTTGTA